TAGGACAACAACCCGAGGGACCATATTCCCTTTTTCTTCTCCAAGTCTTGAGATTCTGGGACAAGTCCCCATGACTGGGAGAGTTCCGGGCAGATGACTTGAGGTCTCGATCTCCAGGCTGTGCCCATCTCCCATGCCCTGCCACTGAGAGCCCAGAGAACCAGGGAGAATTGCCCTCCTGGGCTTCCGTAGACCTTTATGGGAAGGAAGAGGCATCAGAGGTGGAGCTGAGGGGAAGGACAGGCAGAGAGAACTAATACTACAAGGAGAGCGAGGATGCAACGTGACCAAGGAGAGAGAGCAATGCTCAGAGATCTTGTCCTTTCCCAAGCTCCGTATGCCACCTCCTGCCGCTGTGTGTCCTCAGGTCACTTGATGTTTTGAGCTTCACTCTCCTCAATTTTAGACGATGATTGTAATTCCTATTTATGTGAGAGTTGAGGTAAAGACTAAATGAGCTCATGAATGTGTATTTGGTCAAAAAAACAGCAAACAAGAGATGGTATATTCAAAATGGGTGGTTGAAGAGGGTTTAAAGAAGGAACTATTTACAAAGGCAAAAAAGAGAGTAAAGGGAAGCTGACAAAGGAACATTCCGTCCCCCAGGACTCACAACAGTGGGGAGCTGTCACCACCCCTGGGCCTGAAGAGATAGGGAGAGGGTGCAGCCCAGAGGAAGCTATAGCTCAAGGAGAGGGCTGCCTGAGAAGAGTCATCCTTTTGTTAGAGCATCACCATCTGAAGCTGGCAGGGAAGAAAGGGGGAAGAGTAAATGCTGTGCCTCTCTTCTTTCTCCTTCCAGTCTTCAGCTAGTACCTCCCCTTGGCCAAATCCAGCAGGTGACCAGAGGCAAGAGAACCCAGTGACACTGTCCATAGAGGACAGATTCCCGGGGCCCAGAAGAGGGTGGAGCAAGATGGAGAGTGGGTCTGGGAGCACATAAAGCCCCCAACATGGCCCTTAGCACAGAAAAGGCCTGGCAGCTTTTATAAGATCAGGCCACTTCCTCCATGCCCAGCCCTGAGCCAAATACACAACATGTGTTGTCTTCCTACCCTAGAGATTAGTATTTTTATCCCCATTTTTCAGTTAAGAAAGTTGAGGCTTAAAGATATTATATAGCTTGAGTCTACAGGAAAAGAGAAAAGGAAAAGACATTCAGTTCATGAGCAGTAGTGCAAGGATTGAAATTTAAACCTATGTGCCTATGAAGCACAGGTGGGCAGAGTCATTTCGGGGAGGGAAACGGGAAAAAGGCAGAAGGAAAGAGCCAGCTCCAGGTGTCAGTTAAGAAGACCCTGACACTCATCACCCTCCTCTTTCCCACTGAACTTAAGACCCCTGATGGCTTTCTTTTGGTATTGCTAAGGGGGTCACATTTAGGGCAGGTTGGGGACACCCAGCTCTGGACTTGGGCTTCTTCAACCAGACCCAGACCTTGAGGGCTGAGGCTCTGAGATCTAGGAACAATGGCTGACCCATGACCCCATCCCCAAACTTTCTGCAGCGGATGTGATATTGGATCCGAACACAGCAAACCCCATCCTGCTTGTTTCTGATGACCAGAGGAGCTTGCAGCGAGCAGACAAACGACAGAATCTGCCAGACAACCCCAAGAGATTTGATTGGCATTACTGTGTGCTTGGCTGCAAGAGCTTCACGTCAGGGAGACACTACTGGGAGGTAGAGGTTGGGGACAGGAAAGAGTGGCACGTCGGGGTGTGCAGGGAGAACGTGGAGAGAAAACGTTGGATTAAAATGACACCCGAGAATGGCTTCTGGACTATGGGGCTGTCTGATGGGAATGACTATCGGGCTCTCACTGACCCCCGGACCAAACTGACAATTGCCAACCCTCCTCAAAAAGTGGGGATTTTCCTGGACTACGAGACTGGTGAGGTCTCCTTCTACAATGCCGCGGATGGATCGCATGTGTACACCTTCCCGCACACCTCCTTCTCTGGGCCTCTGTGGCCCGTTTTCAGGATTTTGACCTTGGAGCCCACTGCCTTGACCATTTGCCCAGCATTGACAGGAGTGGGGCGTTCCAGTGTTCCTGACCTAGAGCCTGACCTTCCTCTGGAGAGCCCCGTGGCCCTGGACTCAGCTGATGAGAATGGGGAGCCTCAGGCTGAAGTAACGTCCCTGCTTCTCCCTGCCCAGCCTGAAGCTGAGGGCCTCTTCCCTACCAGCAACAAATCACAACCGTAAAATACCAGAGACACACACTGTGTGAAGCACTTCACTAGTATTAATACAATTATTTATTCCATATGGACAGTTGAGTTTGATACTGCTTTATTGTCTCCTTTATATGGAGAAAGAAACCAGGGTGCAGAAAAGTGAATTCACTTCCCAAAGGTCACTCAGCTAGTAAATGACAGCTGTGATTTGAATATAAAACGTTTACGGATGACGTAAGTGTACTGGGGGTTGTGTCAAAGCTTTAAATAAATGTTCTCCTTTAATCCTCACAGCAACCCTGTGATAGAGCCTCATTGCGCAAGTGTGGAAACTGAGGTAGGGCCGAGTTAAGCGACTTACATAATTCATCAGTTTGTGCTGCCGGGGGATGTTTGGCCCCTGTCCCCCACCTCCACCCACCCTCTACCCGCTGGCCTGTTTTCCAGCCCGACTGCCCCTCTGGGGAAGGGACCATGTGCAGCCCTGAGTGTCCCTTCCCAGGGCCCCCCAGGGTAAGTATCACTGTAGGTGTCTATGGAGGCCACACCCCACTGGGTTCCTTCAAGGTCAACAGTCAGAGCCATAGGTCCAGATTGGCTCTGCCGGGTGAGTTGGTCCAGAGAATGAATTCACAGTGACTGCATCACACAGGACTGCAAAGGGACTAAAGGCCAAAATCTTAACTACTAAAGGGCATGAGTACCACCACCGCCCCACCCCCTCTCCACCTCCCCACCCCGGCCAATGTGATAAGTAATCCTGGAGCAGAAGCAGTCCTCCTAAGTTTAAGGTCTCTAGAAAGCCTAACTTAATACCTAAAGACTGCCTGTGGAACAAGAATTTGGGAGGAATGAAGCTAGATGAACTTTAGCAGTATTTTGATCACACTGTAGAGTCCATCTCCAGGAAAGGGATATTTCCACGCCTGATCAGTTACTGATGTTAACGAATGTTCCTTGCAGCTGACGGGTACCAGGCAGAAGTTACTCTTCATTATCATCACTATTTTGTTCACCAGTGTATCCCCTCTACCGGGCAGTTGCGGTCTTGCACACACCTGCGAACTTCCCTCGGGGAGGAATCAGAACCAAGACAGAACACCAATATCCAGTGCAAATCAAAAGTAGATTAGTGATAGGCGTTTATTAAGCACAAAAGCACAAACCGATCGGGGCCTCACCCAAAGAAGGGTGAGACCCCGAGTCTTGTACAGGTGTGGTTTTTAAATCCCAGGGTAACAGGATGTTCGTTCTAATTTTGAACTATTGGGTCGGCCATCTGGAACCCAGTGTCTTCCTGTTCACATTATGCTGGGAAGCAAAGCTCAATTTCACAGCAGCCGAGGCAAGCGGTTAGCAATAAAAGCCGTTACAGTACAAACAGTTTTAAATCAAAACATTTCATCATTAATTCCAAGTATTACAATCGAAACTGTACGTTCTGGGACAGCGTGTCCCGTCACAGGGCGTGTGGTTGTCAAGTTACCTTTGTTAAATAAATGTGTTAATAATCTTCACTCTTCAACTGAGCATTTTCTAGATTTCAAGCCCCTACAGTTTACTCACCGCAGTTTCACAATTTACCTCACTGCAACATTTTCACAAAGTCCTTATTGTATTAGTTTTCTATTGCTGCCATAATAAATTACCATAAATTTTGTGACCTAAAACAAAATAAATGTACTATCTCACAGCTTTGTAGGTCAGAAGTCCAACATGGGTCTCAGCGGACTAAAATCAAGGTGTCTGCAGGCTGCATTCCTTTCTGGAGGCTCTTCGGAAGAATCTGTTTCCTTGCTCATTCAAACTGTTGGCAGAATTTAGTTCCTTGCAGTTGTAGGACTGAGGCTGTCATTTCCTGCTGGCTGTCAGCTGAGGGCTATTGCCGGTTTCTGGAGGCTGCCACGTTCCTCAGCTCGTGGTCCTCTTCCTCCAGCTTCAAAGCAGTAATGGCAGATTGAATCCCTCTCAGCCTTTGAATCACCCTGTTTCTTCTTCCACTGAATCTCTTTGACTCTCCTGCCTTTTTCCACTTTTAAGAATTTATGTAATTAGATATGTCCAACCAGATAATCCAGGATAATCTTCCTATGAATCCAGGATAATCTCTCTACATTAAGATCCATAACCTTAAGGTCTCTTTTGCCATGTAATGTGTCATAATCACAGGTTGTAAAGACTCTGGTGTGAACTCTTCAGGCTAGCACACGTAGTCACAGCCTCACTCACTCTGGAGGAGGCCTCTGTCCTGTATACACTAAGGGCCTCCATGATTGGAGATTCCCGTGAATCTCAATGAGTGACTCTTTGGAAATTTTATCTGTAGCCCTTCGTTCACTTACTAAACCCAGGTATACATGTCAGAGTGTCCTTTTGCAGAAAAGATAATTCTCACTGTTGATGATGTCTGGTGAACTTTCTACTGAATCCATCTCTTAGTTTGGGTTCCCCAAAAGCTGACTCTGAGTCAAGGACTCGGAGTCACGTTGTCTACTTGAGAACTGATCCCAGAAAACTCAAGTTCGAAAATAAATAAAAAGAGAAAAGCCAACTGAGAGAAAAATTACATAAAGGGTACATTAATCAGTTGGTTATCATGTGGGCAACTGGGCTCCATCCCACCCAAGACTAAGAAACATGTGATGCTGTGAGATATGCTTATGCTTACGTCATCACACCCCCAACCCCAAACACTATACACACACACACACACACACACACACACAGACTTCTACACACGGCAGGCCTCTCCTGGTGATTAGCAGCAACGCCAAAATCCTCGGGGAATCTCAAGGATTTTCAATAAAAAAATGAAAAGTATCTCGCTTCTGAAGAAAGAAAAAGGAAAGTTTTTTAAAGGCTCCGTGCAGCTGTGCGTTTTTAAGTCCTAAGCTGTTTCTGTGTATTCTACCCAGTAACTGGTGAGAAAGCAGGTTCAGGGATGCCATTGGCTGGCTGACCCACGGCCTGCTCTAAATCATTCATTGGAGATCTTGTGACTTTGTGGTCCCCGAGTGGACCGGGTCCCAGGGACCGCAGCCCCCAGGCCGCGACTAACAGGAGGTGAAGAAAAGTTCCTTCTCCGCTTTCGGGAAGGTTTGGTCTGGTTGTGCCTGTGCCCATGGGCGGGTTTAGGGGGAAGACGGACAACCGGAAAATCATCATTTGAGCGTCAGAGGAGAAAAGAAAACGCAGAAGTTAATTCTAGAAGGTAAGAAAGGGAGGGGACGCGCTACCGCTCGGGGGTGGGGCGGGGAGTGGGGGGCGGTAGGCGGGAGGAACAGAACCTGATAAGGCGAAAGTCGGGGTCCCGGGTAGGGGATGCTTCCGGGGGGGGGGGGGGGGGGGGAGGGAGGCTCTCCACCCCTGGCTTGACTTGGTGCCGAGCCAGATTCGCGGCGAGGAGGAAGGGACGGGAGGGAGGATGGGTTTGGAAGAATATCAAGTGACGTCTGAAGAAACTCAACTCTGGCCGGAGAAGTGAGCCGAGGAGGGCGGAAAACTGTAGTCCCGATCGTTGTATTGTTGGCTTATTCCCTGGAATGTTTAATGAAGCCATCTATCGGTAAATACCTGAACCAGGAGAGGAAGGAGGCTGCCCAAGACAGCAGTTGGGGCGCTGATGATAACCAACACGGGTTACAGGAAAGTTTGACCTAGATCAGAACCGTAGTGCCGAGTCTCCCTGGCTGATTCTCCACGTCTCTCTAGGCTTCCCGTCCCTGCCTCTCGTGGGTGCTTATGGAGCGAGCTGCTTCTCTGCATTTCTCCCTGCCAGGCTCCCTTCTCTTCTTCCACCTCCTCAGCTTGTTTGCAGCGGTCTCAGGTAGGGGTGCATGCCACTAACTCCTATCAACTTCTCAGAAGGGAAAATCAGCACTTCAGTGTGCAAAGAGGAAGGGTAAAGAAGGGCTGCAGTTGTGTTCCCTCACCTTTTCGTTCTGCACACGGTCTTCGAACGGATCCCAGCGCCCTCCATTTAGCAATCCAGTGAGAGCCACAAAAGGCGAGCTGCATATATAACTTAAAATTCTTAGTAGCTACGTTTAAAAAAGTAAAAAGAAACAGATAAAACAACCTTTCATAATCTATTTTAACTCCACATAACCAAAATATTATTATTTAAACTTTTAATTAATGTAAAATATGAGTGAGATACTTAACATTTTTTTCTAAATTTTCAAAATTGTGTGTATTGTACATTTACAGCACACTCCAATTGGGACTAGCTAGTGGCTATCATATTGGACAGCTCAAGTTTATAGTATACTCCAGGCACTGTGCTGGTTTGGGAAATAGAAAAAGATCTGTGTAAGCTCAGGGTCCATGGGGGGTATCAGGGTATGCTTCTCCATGTGTTGTTCAAGAAGCATTAGCATCCTCAATAGACACCCCTCCTACCCCTGCTAGGTGTCTGTTACTATCGACCAGCCACATCTCTTGGCCCCCAGAATCCTGAGCCCAGGAAGCCCCTTAGAAAGAACATGTCTGTGCCCTGGCATATCCACTTCTTTTCCCACCTTAGAGAGTTGATGGCTGGTGCCCTTGTCTGACTCTACCGCTTTGTTGAACAGTCCAATTTACTGTCCTGGGACCAGCTGATCCAATTCAGGCCATGGTGGGAGAAGACACCAAGTTACACTGCCACCTGTCACCTGAGAAAAACGCTGAGGGCATGGAGGTGCGGTGGTTCCGGACGCAGTTCTCCCCTGCAGTGTTCGTGTACAAGGGCCATCGAGAGAGGACGGAGGAGCAGATGGAGGAGTACAGGGGAAGAACAACCTTTGTGAGTGAAGCTATCAGCAAAGGGAGCGTGGGGCTGATCATACACAACGTCACAGCCCACGATAACGGCATCTACCGCTGTTATTTCCAAGAAGGCAGATCCTACGACGAGGCCATCATGTACCTGATAGTGGCAGGTACGACCTTCCATTTTGCTCCATTGCTTTTTCACAGCCTGACTCTTAGGGAAAGTTTTTCTCCTCACCTCAGGCCCCCTGCAGACCAGCAGATTTTTGCCTAGAATCCCCTTTAAACAGGGAGGGTGGCTTTCCCCTGCTCAAGGACCCAGTGAGTGGGTTTGCTCTGCTAAACGGTGGGCATCAACTCTTGAGACGCACACACGGAACTCAGCTGTCACCTTGAGTAGGGGCGAATGCTTAATCCCTACAAATTATTCTTATGCCTACTTGTGAGAGATCTCTAAGCATCTTCCTCAGTAACATGTTTTAGAATTAGACATCTTTATTGTGAAGTATTATACAGAAAAACTCATAGAACATTAATGTACAGATTACTGAATTATTATGAGCTATAACCCATGTAACCACTACTCATGTCAAGAACTAGAACACTGCCTTCTACTGACCGAGTTAGTTTGCTAGGGCTGCCATAACAAAAGGACCACAGACTGGGTGGCTTAAACAACAGAAATGTATTTTCTCACAGTTCTGGAGGCTGGAAGTCCAAGATCAAGCTGTCAGCAGGTTTGGTTTCTTCTGAGGCCTCTCTCCCTGGCCTGCAGATGGCCACCTTCTCACTGGGTCCTCATGTGGTCTTCTCTCTGTGTCTTCATGTGGCCTTTCCTCTGTGGGTCCACGTTCCTGGTGTCTTTCCCTGTGTGTCCTAATCTCCTCTTCTTATAAGGACACCAGTCAGATTGGATTAGGGCCCACTCTAACAGCCTCATTTTAACTTAATTACCTCTTCAAAGGCCCTCTCTCCAAATACATGCACATTCTAAGGGCCTGGAGGTTAGGGCTTCAACATATGAATTTTGCGGGGGCACAGTTCAGTCCACAACATGCCACTTCTCAAAAGCCCCGACTTAAACAGGTTCCTAGGAAGAGACATGCTGTGTAATGAGAAATATACATCCTTAATAGGCACTACACATTAGTTTTCCAAAGTGTTTGTACCAATATACACTCTCGCCAGTCATATATGATGCTCCATACCTTTTTCATTAAGTCCAAAGAGAAGTTTTTCACATGTGATTTCAATCTATTTTTTTCTTTTTCATAAGCTATTTTCCATGCGTGTGAGGATCAAACACCATCCTTGACCCTTTTTACCCTCCTTCCCTACTGTTTTCCTCAGCACCTCTCACCTTCTTACGTATATGCATTTTACGTATTTATCCAGATTATTATGGCTCTTCCACTAGAATGTAGCTTTCATAAGGGATTGTTTTCTATTTTTCTCCTGCTATATCCACACCTTTAGAACAGACCCTGGAGCATAACAGGTGCTCAACAAATATTATTGAAGGATTAAATGAATCTGCTCCATAAAGCTGTAAGTGGTCATCACATCGTGCCTGAGCTATCTCTATTCTAAGCCTGAGATCTGCTTTTTTTTAACCTTTTTCCATGAGCCTCTTACCAGTCCATGCTTTTAATCATCTTTGAAGTATGCATTAGTCAGGATTGTCAAGGTTATGCTCTGGTCACAAGCAGCCCTCAAATCTCAGATCAACAAGGGTCTGTTTCTAACACATGAAATATATCCTTCCTGAGTCTGGTGGGGCTCTACTTCATACCGATCTGCCTGGAGCTTTGTGGTTCACCTGAGCAGAGGGGAAGAGAGCCCGGCAAATTACTCACTGGTTTGTAAAGCTTCTGCCTGGGCGGTGCTACATGTCATTTATACTCACATTTCATTGACCAAAGCAAGTCACATGGTTATGCCTAACTATACAGGAGAGGGAAGTACAAGCCTAACCATGGGCCCAGGTGAACTGAAAATTTTTGTAGACAGCACTAAAAAGTACTCTTTCAGGTTTTTGTTACTAGACGTTCTTTTAAAGCGTTAATAGTCCACATCACAATCAGAACCAGCAATTATTCACAACTATGTCTCCAGCATCTAGCAAATTGCTTGGCACCTAGCAGGTACTTAATAAGTAGTTGTAAAATGAAGGAGTGAAAAAGATGAATGGCTGATATCAAAATCAGAGTGGAAAAATTTACCCTTGCGCACCCCTCATTGCGGACATTCATAAATTCATTCCACAAATACTTAACAAGCATCTCATGTTCAAGTCACTGTTTCAGAAACTGAGGATAAATCAGTGAACAAAGTACATGAAGATCCCTACCCTCGTGGAACTCACGTTCTGGAGGGTGCTCAGAGAAATAAATGAAATAATTAAACTGGATTTTATATCAGATGGCGATGAGTACTATAGAAAATAATAAAGCAGGGAAGAGATGGAAAGTTCTAGGAGGCAAGGAGGTAAGATAATTAGAAATAGAATGGTCAGGAAAAGCTTCACGGAAAAGATGGCGATCGAACAAAACGAGAATGAAGTGAGGAAGTGAGCCATGCACGTCTAGGGCTACTGAGAGCATCCAGTGTGAAGTCCCATCTAGCACAACACAGGGCGTGTGGGCTCCTGATAGGGGACCATATAGTTTATCACTCAAACTGCACACTTTTGAGAGTGAGAGGAGGCACTGTCAATAATTGCACAGGGACAAGTGGAATCAACAAGGACTGCCCAGGAAACTACAGCATATATGGACATCTCATTTCTTGATAAACATTAAGTTTACCTTCTTTCCCTTTCCTCAAATACTAGTTGTCGTGTGAGTGACTGACATGTAAATTATATATTAAGCCTAGTGGTCCCGCAGAGAAAATGAGTGAGAATTCGGCCAGGCTTCAGGATAGAAGTGGCATTTAAACTGGGATTTCTACAAGTTTATTGGCTTTAAGGTATGACCTCACTTCCGGTGTCAGAGTATTATACTTTAAAAGAAATGTTTGAAGAACGGAAAAGCCTTTAAGACACACATAAATCAATGGCATTTCAGTCCACCAGACCAATGGAGGTTTGTGGACAGTGCGACCTGCCCAATGGGCCTCAAACGTGACTGGCAGGAGATCCCATCTTCGTTACTCAGAAGGGCAGTTTTGTATCTGATTAATAAAGAATATCATGGAAGAAGGGTTTCTCCACCCTTGTGTCCTGACTCTGTTCACAGCAGCACTACAGAGCTGACCACCATGTGTTTGTATGTGGCAGGAATTTTCCATTCTTCCCCTGTAAACAAGACCCTGACCTGCCCCACTCTGAAGCGAGTTGGTGTACACCTGTTTGCTTGTTTGCTTACTGTTTTTCAGTTTGGTTAATCGGCTGGCTGGTTCTGTCCTTAAGTCTATTGTCTCCTGCTTGCCCTTATCGAACCCCTCCGGAACATTCTGTAGGATTTCTTTCCATCTGGCCAAGTTCTTTTGAATCTTATCCCACTTCAAAGTTTCTGTGTGAGCCTTTCAATATGCCACTAGTTGTTTTTTATTTTCCATCTTGAAAAGATCAAATTGAGCAAGAAGCAGTAAGGCTTAAGTGACTGCTTTAATTTTGTCTTTGGTATAATTGGTTGGACAGGCTTAACAAAGGAACTCCTTAAAAGAAGTCTGGATGATTGCTGGACACCTGGCTAAAGGGGCAGAAGTCTCCCAGGACCATGCATTTGCAGCTCTCTCCTACCCAGTATTCTCTTTTATTGAGGATTCTCTGAAAGATAGAATAAGTTAGGAAGAGTCTAGATTCTTAGGACTTTTGACGATGATCTGCTGACATTAAGGAGGTGATTTTTTTCTTTTTTTTTTTTTGCGGTATGCGGGCCTCTCACTGTTGTGGCCTCCCCCGCCGCGGAGCACAGGCTCCGGATGTGCAGGCCCAGCGGCCAGGGCTCACGGGCCCAGCCGCTCCGCGGCACGTGGGATCCTCCCGGACCGGGGCACGAACCTGTGTCCCCTGCACTGGCAGGCGGACTCCCAACCACTGCGCCACCAGAGAAGCCCAAGGAGGTGATGTTTTTATCTTAAGGATCCCGGGATCATCCAGATCTAATAGGGGAATGTTGTCAAGGGACTGTAAGAAAATTACCTAATTGACTGAGCCCAACTGACTGGAAGGTAAACATCTCTGAACTGGGGTAAGGGTTGGCTTTGCACACTGGCTCTGTCAATTTTCCTAAAAACCAACAGCTGCTTATGATTATCAGATAGCTGTGGCGATGTGAAGTCCTAAACCAGGAGAAGAGGGTCAGTGCCTTGAACTCAAAAAGTTTCTTAAGATTCTGCCAGCCTGGCAGGTTTCTGTCCTTATTGTATTGACCTAGAACTTCAGGAAGCCAGAGCAACTGAGAAGTCCTCTCAGGGCAGAAAGTGAAAGCCTGCTTCTTTCTGGTCACAGTGGATACACCCACCCAGAAGTGAGAAAATTAAAATCTCTAGCTGAATGAATCAATCAACCAGTGTCTATTAGGAGGCAGATAAATGCTTGCTCCTGTGATGGGGTCCGTAGGTGGAGCACAAAGAAAAGTACAATGTAATCCTTTCCCCACTTAGAGATCTCACAATTTTTTTGACATGTTGGTCACCTGGTGTTCTCCAACATCAAGGTTTTCTTCCCTCCTTTCCTTCCTTCCTTTCTCCCTTCACAGAATGGAATGTGCGTCATCAGTTTCTCTGGACACCAACCTCTTGCTCTCTCGTGGCTTCCCTTGGCTCTCATCACTAACAGCTGATCTGCTAAGACACTTCGGCTAAGACACCATTACCTCTTTAGCTGGTCTCTCTCCCCAGGCCTGGGTTCTAAGCCCGTTATTGAAATGAAGGGCCACGAGGATGGAGGCCTCCGGCTGGAATGCACATCTGTAGGGTGGTACCCAGAGCCCCATGCCGTGTGGAGGGACCCTTATGGTGAGATCATGCCCCCGCTGGAGGAGGCTTACACTACGAACGAAGACGGCCTCTTCATGATCACCACGGCTGTGATCATCATGGACGAGTCTGTGAGGAACATGACCTGCTCCGTCAACAACACCCTGCTCAACCAGGAGAAGGAAACTGTGATTTTCATTCCAGGTTAGTTCCCCGCTCTCTGGAGGCTCATCTCATGGAGGCGGGATCCTCAGCAGACAGACCGGAGCCCAGCATGGGGATGGGAGTAGGGGCACGGAGTGGAAGGGTCCTGGGCCCTGAAGAACTAGAGGCTACAGCTGAGCTGAGGCCTCTCCCCTTGTCACAAGAGGAAAATCAAATCACCTCAAAACACAGGAGTAGGAAGCCTCTTCTCTGAGGGTAAATCTGATAGTTTTGTTTTGCTTTGTTTTTCTCTGTTATGGTTCTTTTCCTGCAGCAATTTTCAAACATGTAGAACAATCATAAATCTATGGGCAGGTAGTATCTGCTGAAGCCCTTCCTTCCTGCCCAAGAGATTTCCCAAAGGACAGAGCTGGAGAAATTCTCTGTCTGTAGACATTCATAAATTCATTAAATACTGAACAAGCGTCTCATATGTTCAAGACACTGTTCTAGAAACCGAAGGTAAATCAGTGAACAAAATACATGAAGATACCTGCCCTCATGGGGCTCACATTCTAGAAGAGCAGAAGGCAGTAAATGAAATCATGAATTAAAACAAGGAGTGAAATAATTAATTAAACTGTGGATTATATCAGATGGTGATAAGTACCGTAGAAAAAAATTAGTGAGGCGGGGATAGAGAGTGTCAGGGGCATGAGGCAGTTGTAATTGTAAATAGGATGATCGGGGAAAGCTTCACGGAAAAGATGGCAGTTGGGGAAGTGAGGAGTGAGCCATGCAGATGTTTGAGGACTGAGCAAGCCAGGTAGCAGGAACGGCATATGCAAAGGGCTGAGGCAGGAGCATATCTGGCAGTTTCAAGGACCCCCCCAAGACACAGATATGACTGGAATGGATTGAGGGCAGGGAGAGTTGGAGGAGATGAATTCAGAGAGACAGTAGATCTGGATCATATGAGGCAGTGTAGGCCACAAATGGACTTTGGCTGTTAGTCTCAGTGAGGTAGGAAACACTGCAGGGTTTTGAGCAGAGAAACAACATGATCTCACTTAGGCTGCTGTGCTGAGGACAGACCGCAGAGGATATGGACAGAAGCAGGGAGAAGGCATTGCAAAATTCCAGGCAAGAAGGGATGATGGCTTATACCATGTGGTGGCCGTGCTGATTCAGTGTGGCTGGTTAGCTTTTAGTCACCCTGGTCTTACCCATGGTGACTCCAGATGTTACTGCTTTTTTGTCTTCTGGGGCCCCAACCCTGGCAATCACTGTGGGGCGAGCCAGTGCAGAGCCAAAGTCTCTTTCCCTAGCTGGGGTTTCTGAGAGAGAAGCTGACGGAGCAGGGACCTGGTGGGGGCCGGGGTGCAGGGGAGGTGCTCTTCAGATCTGCGCCCGGAAGGGCTCTAATCCCAGGGCTCCTTTTTCTCACTAAATGGGACTTTTGGGCTCCCTTTTCAGAATCCTTTATTCCCAGCACATCTCCCTGGCTGGTGGCCCTGACTGTCATCCTGCCTTCTCTGCTCCTCATCATCGCTGGAAGCATCTGTATCGTCAAGAAACTCCAAATGGAAAAAAAGCTTCTGTCCATGCAAATAGAGATTGAAAATGAAGAGAAAGAAATTGCACGTAAGGAACTGGGGAAAGAACGTGTGGAAAAAGAGAAAGAACGTCAAATAAAAGGTAAAAGAGTAGGAACACAGTTCACTGTCTTACAAAAGGACACAGCTCGGGCAGCTAAAAGCCTGCGAAAGAGAGAGAGGACATGAATAAAGGCAGCGGCAAGGGCTTAGAACTCTTCGTGTCCTAGTAATGAATCCCTCAGACCTCGCTTTCTTCCATTCTGCAAATGTTGCATCCATTCACCTGGCTACGTATAGCCCTATATTGTTGGACAAGAGCAAACCCAAATAAGTACTGATAATATCCAGCCACCTGATCATATGTTATTTCTGGTATCTTGACAATTCCCAAGGCAGCCAGGGAGGGGGACAGTGGTCAAATAGAAGACCAGCCATCATCATTTAAGACAAACTCTATTTCTCTTAGTTCTTCTCTTGAGGACATTCATTTGTTTCTGTTTCTTTTTCAGAGCAACTTCATGAAGAACTGCGTAAGTTGAGCATTTCCTGAACTACTCCCTGCATGATTTGCATTCTGCCCTGCATTATCTCCTGAAGCTCACCTCTCTGCCTGTCCCATTGCAGGATGGAGAAGAAGCCTCTTACATGCGGGTGAGCGCCTCTGACATTCCCTCAGATCCCGAGCTTTCTCCCCACCAGGCAGCGAACAGGACACATTAGAGGAGATGAACAAGGAGACCCAAGGCTGGCTAGCGGGGGCAGGAGCCTGGGGTCGATTCACCAGCAGTATCCTACCCAATGCCGGAGCCTACCTCTGCTGTCAGGGAAGCCCTGCAGCTCTTAACCAACTCTATAGCTTACTTCCCACCATCCTTTCTTTTTTAGAATAATTTCATCCATGATTACCAAAGGTCTACCATATATAATAGATGTCCCAAAAGCTTACCTTTTAGTAGCTGTTGCTCTTTGGATCCTGGCTTAATTTGAAAGAAGACAATACTGGCTTAGCTATTTATAACCTGGGCGGTGGTATAGACTGCACAGTGGAAGAGCCACGTGTGGGAAAAGCAATAAGCTTCCCAGGCCTGGCTGAGGGGTGTACAAATAGGGACCAGAAATGCCTTCCTGCTCCAAGAGAATGCTGATAACCCTGTGTGTAGCCTGCCAGTGGAGAGGACCTGGGCAGGTGGGAGAACACAGGGTCCAATTGCCTGGTCCTAATGAGCACTTTGAGTTTTATGACTTGTCACGTTCTGCTCACAAGCATCAAAGAATGCAGGCTTTACTAGATCCCACAGCACGTGGACCTTTCCTCTTTCGAATTTCAAAATTATCACCATCAGACATAACAACTTGGAGAAAGAAGCAAATCATTTTAACACAGTGATTTTGTGTTCGATGTAGACTGACTAAGTAATAGTAACTGCAGATGGGAGAGGGCTGCAGAAAGTCGGGGGTCTGAGGCATTTCCTGTATGCAGAGAGGTCATAGCTATAGATGTCACACCATAATAATGTTATTAAGGCAAAACTACCTTTTGCCATACTCACCTCTCAGGCAAGTATGGCAGGTAGACTTTGGGGGACATTATCCTTCTTTTTTACCCTTTGAGGGATACGCTTATTAGTCATTTAAATCAGTTGTCACCTGGTTAAACTGGTAGAACACAGAGGACCAGTGTAGGGACACTTTATCACTCTTATCTGTGTAGGGAAAAATTGGCCTTAATGGCTTAACTGGGGGAGGGGGAGGGGATAGGTCCTCTTTGCTGGTTTAAGCCATGTGGGAAACTTTTTAACTAAAGAGAGTCCCAGAGATCATATATTTTGAATAGAAAAGGGGGCGGATCTAAGAACATTGAGAGAAAGCGGGAGCCATTAATTTCAGCTCATTTGCTGAACTTTCTATATTTCTTAGAGCCCCAGTTCTCCTCGACCTGAGGCAGTGCTCCTGCCACTTAAGAGATAGAAGTGCAGCCTCAGGAATTTTCTGTGAGCTGCCTGGGATCTGGGATCGAGGGGCCTTCACGGAAAAGGCGGTCACATGGGGGAATCTCCCACCAGCTTTCTGGGATCTCTCTGGGGACCAGGAATCTCACAATCTCCTGAGATCCTAGGCCTAAACCTGAGACTTCCTCTGCAGCTGATGTGGTACTGGACCCAGACACCGCTCATCCCGAGCTCTTCCTGTCAGAGGACCGGAGAAGTGTGAGACGGGGTCCCTCCAGGCAGAGCTTGCCTGACAACCCAGAGAGATTTGACTGTCAGCCTTGTGTCCTGGGCCTAGAGAACTACACCTCAGGGAGACATTACTGGGAGGTGGAGGTCGAAAACGTGATGGTTTGGGCTGTGGGTGTTTGTAGAGACAGTGTTAAGAGGAAAGGGGAAACCCTACTGGTTCCTCAGAATGGCTTCTGGACCCTGGAGATGTTTGAGAACAAGTACCGCGTCCTGTCCTCCCCGAAGAAGATTCTCCCCGTGAAAGAGCGCCTTCGCCGGGTGGGCATTTTCCTGGATTATGAAGCTGGAGATGTGTCCTTCTATAACATGAGGGACAGGTCGCACATCTACACGTGTCCCCGTTCGCCCTTCTCTGGGCCCCTGAGGCCCTTCTTCAGGCTGGGGTCTGATGACAGCCCCCTCTTTATCTGTCCAGCGTTTACAGGGGCCCAGGGGGTCACAGTGCCTGCGGGCGGCCTGGTCCTTCACAGGGCAGAGACCCACCGCAGCCTCCAGGACCAATTCCCCGGTCTCAGAGCCAAGTAGAGAGCCCAGGCCACCTCTACTACCACAGCACAGCACCCCCTGGAGGAAAACCACCCTCCTTCCTTCTGGTCACGGAAGAAAATCTCCTCCAGAGGTCCCCTGGACACCTTCTCAAGCCCCAGCCCCATCTCTCCCTCATTAGGCCGTTGCTTTAGTAACTCATTTGCACGTAACGATGGGGCAGGGGCCAGTCTCAGGAACACAAGTGCTGCCACATAGCTCCCAACCAAGAAGTGTGAGAACGTGACAGGCAGAAAACCGGTTGCTTTAACATCAGAGTGACACATTCAGCCTGAGACTGGAGTTGACGTCAGATACTGTGGACTGGGGCGAGGATGCACTAGGATGTAAGAGGGGAGCGGGAACCACAAATGGAAGTCAGAGATAGAGGAAGTGAGACCTGAGAGGTGGGCCGAGGCTATGGATGTGGTTAAGCCCCACCATTACAGCTAAGGGGTCCCAGGAGCTGATGGTCCATTTCCCACCCACCCCCAAGATTTCCAGGGCATACAGTAAAGCTCCCCAGGCCTAGATCCATATGAGGAAGGATGAAGGATGAGGATACTTCTGGACGTGGCCTGGCTCAGGTGTCCCTACAATAAACAAGGTGTCAGTACTTAGTTATTGAGAGTGGCCTAAGGTTTAAGGTCCCAGCTGAGCAGGTAAGCATTGGACCAAGTGGATCTCAAGGTTCAGGTTCAGTGGGGAGAGCAGTGCTTTTCTGCTTTTTGGCCTCAGGTTGCCTTTAGACACTTAAAAATTACTGAGGACCCTAAAGAGCTTTTGCTCATTTGGGTTATATATCTATCAATATTTGTGGCATTAGAGATTGGAACTGAGAAATGTTGAAAATGTATTTATTTATTAATTTATATTAAAAATAGCAACAAGCCAATTACAGGTTAACATAAAAAAATTTTCATGAAAAATAACTGTTGTTTCCAATGCAAAATAAAGTTTATTGAGAAGTGTGGTATTCTTTAACGTTTTTGCAAATCTAATGTCTGGCTTCTCGAAGGTGGCTAGATCCTCACATCTGCCTCTGTATTCAGTGCTGGGATATCACAGGTCATGTAGGCTCTAAAAAATGTAACTGTACACTAGTGAGAGAGTGAGAGCAAAAATGAAAAATAATATCTTAGTATCATTATTATGGAATAGTATTAATCTTGTACACTGTTTGCAAGTATTACAGGGACCACCCAGAAATCTGCAAAACATCTTTTGAGAACCAGGATAGAGGATCCTGGAATTGAGTCAGTCATCTAAAATGATGACATAAATGGCAGCATTTTGGACTTTACATAATTCAGCCATCCAATTGTAAAACTTGGCTGAAAACGTTAAAAGGTATTTCAAAAGTTCAAAATTGTTTTACTGCAGTTTCAAATGGAGACATTCTGGAAAAAATCAGGAACATTGAAGTAAGTGATTTGTTGAGACGGAAGACTGGCTTATTAATGTGTATGTGCGTGTGTTGTTTTTATTTTTGGTATTGTTGTTATAATAATATTTGAACAGTTTTAACTAAAAGCACCAGACTGCGACTCAGGAAACAAGTACTACTAATAACTGCCTATATTAATCTTAGGCAAGTTAGAGCTTTTCGGTGTTTTGGTATTCTGTAAAATAAGGCTTTGAGTGGGTTTGCATATCTTTTATTATAGTTTACAAAACACTTTCACTTATGCAGTATCCTTGCTGTCTCATAGCAAATATACTGATCCCCATTTCACAGTGAAATAGTGAGGTCTAGCAAGTTAAAGCAATTTTTTTGTTTGTTTGTTCAAGGAAAACAGAGTTTTCATTCATACTTTTTTTTTTGATAAATCATGCCTCATCCTTAAGGTGCCTTATAAACATAAATTTCAAATGTTTTAAGTATTTATTGAAACTAAGCATGAACCCAATGCTCTGCTAGTCACTGTATAAAATATGTAAATAGTGTAAAACTCGGCTCCTATCCTTTACTGTCTTCCTTCATATCTTTGCTTATTCATTCACTCTCAACAAATTTATCACCTTTAATGTGTCGACAATGTACGGTCTGTTGTGTCACGAAGGAAATAAACAGGGTGATATTATGGAGAGGAATGGGTGGGGGTTGAGGGGGACCACTTTAGATGGCAAAGTTAAGGAGGGCTTCCTGGAGGAAGTGATGGTTTTTCTGAGACTTGAGGACTAAGAAAGATTCCCGAGCATTGGGAATCTTGTGCATTACGAGCCCCAAAGCAGAAATAAACTAACTAGTTAAAGGAACATAAACCCCTACAGTCAGAGCAAAGATTGAGAATGGAACGGGCAGGAAACACGTAGAAAGCAGACGATCTGGAGGCTCGCAGCAAAGTGCTGAGAATCAAACAGAGTCTTACTGAAAACCAGAGCTCAAATGAACAGATGTCTGGAGTCACCCGAGAATTATTTTTATTTCCTTTTCCCAGCAGGCAGCAGGATTACCTTTTTTTTGGCTGCTCTGCATATCTTGCTGGATCCCCGATCTGGGACTGAACCCAGGCTCCGCCCCGGCAGTGAAAGCCCTGAGCCCTAACCGCCGGACCGCCAGGCAATTCCTGGGTTACTCGTTCTTAGCAGCATGAGTAATTTAATTTTCCAGAATTTCCTTTTTCCTGGGTTTGGGGGCTGGGAGTGAAGTGGAGTAGAGTATGGAGAAAAGGGGAACGCCCCCCAGGGACTCTTCCCCTTCTTTGGGTGTCACGGCTCAGGCCTGGCGTAGTGATCCCAGCACCCTCAGTGGCTGAGATCCACGGCATCTGTGATCCCACCTGCCCTCTTGGCTCTGTAACTTAGATCAACCCCAAGAGGAGAGGGAAAAAAAAAGAATTCTGAATCAAGACCTTCCAGTGGAAGTTTTTCAGATTTTGGCATGTTGGATTAAAGAGAGACTTTAATCTTTTACCTAGGATGGGCTGGGAGTTATCGTCAGCGGTTATTACTGGGCAACGGTTAATCTTGTTACCCTTTGATCCCCGTGTGGGAGAGAGTAGGCTGGGCCAAGGAGGGAGATGGGGTGGGGATATTGGAAGTTAGGTCTTCTCGGCATATCCTACCATAATTAGAAGTTTTCCCAACTTCTGGGAAAGTGAAACTTACATATCCCTGGACTCATGAAGAGCTTTCCTTAATCATATATGAAACAGCCTGGCACATTGCTGCCAGGCTGGTTCACAGGATCATTTCATTTTCTCCCCAGCCTCCCCCATGCTTGGCCCCAAACCAACCCTTTTGTACCACAAGGCACATGTATAATTATCCCAGACCTTTCAATTACGGTTACTAATCAAACTTAGAGGACTTTGGTATCAGAGACAGAAGTAATCTGACACAGATAAGGTACATGTAAAATAATCAGTAAATAAGCTAACATTTATATCCATTTATATCCATTTATATCCATTTATATCCGCAGTTTCTGGTGTGTATGAGTCAACACACCTGCAGCTTATTCTTACATCCATGCAACAATCGCTGGCTGTTGGCCATGAGCCAAACACTGTCTAGGCACTGAGGAAAATAACAGTGACTAGGACAGGTGACATGCATGGACTATTGCCAACCCAGGAAGTACACTCACGCTTCGATGGCCACACTTTCTATTGAGCCTTCATTATGTAGGCTTGATTGATTGAATCATTGACCACATAGTGATTGAACTCCATCTCCAGCCCCTCTCTCTTGCTGAGTCAAGCTGACAGCACATAGCCCAAAGCCCCAACCCCCTAATCACAGGATTGGACTTTCTGGCTTGGTGATTGCCCATGAGTCATCTCATTAGAGTAAACGATCAGGTACAATCCAGAGAGCTCACCAGGAATGACACAACACTCGGGAAATTCCAAGGGTTTAGGTTATTTCCCAGGAGCTGGACAAAGGCCAGACCTCTTACTACACAGTTTGAGAAAGAATGTCA